CGCTGTTAATTCGATAAGTCTCCTGCTCACTGTTCATATCCAATTTGGCGGGCCCAGTCTTTTCTCCCTGTCCCACCCCCAGAGGACTAATCTCAGGCCAAGAGCACTGGCTCGCCTTGGCACACAAGACGACGCGTCGTCCCGAGAGTTTAGCTGCAAGATAATCTCGTTGATGGCTCGAAAGCTCTGGTTTACACACAGCCTCTGGGCGCTCGTTATCCATTCAAGACGACACCAATTAAGTGTATCGATTTTGGTGACTTCTTTCTTTTGCAATTCGTCTGGGTGTTGTGAAGACATTGTGACACGGGCCATTTGAGATTGCGCGCGCGTGCTAATGTCGACCAGCTGGTGGATTGACTGAAAAGTCCTCACACACAGCCCTAATTGAGTTAGTCATGCAAATTTTCCGCATGAGACGTTCACCCAGTGAAATCTGCATTGCAATTTTCCCCATGACTGACTCAATGTCGTGGGAGATGTAAGCAAAAGACGACGCGTGTCTCAAGTTCTGACGCACAGTGACGAATGTTTACGTCTTTTGCCCACAAGACGCGACACTGCAGCGAATGAGTCAAATGACATTTTGCCATTTGTATTGATTAGAGGGCTTCAGAGAGCAAATTGGAGCACTGAGAGCGTCAATGGAGAAACACGTGTGGCGGCAATCATTCCACTATTGCACACTAATTAATCTCACGGGTATTGCGAAGCAACAAAATCAGCCACAATTTTGTTGCTAGGGTAGAGAGGGGTAGTTTGGTATGAAAATTGAACGAATGAAATCCAATTGAAAAGGTGATGCAAGGAAAATTTTGAGTTTTTATTTGATACGAATTTCAGCTGTCAAAATACAATTTCTTTAACTTTTCTTTTGTAATGCGATTTTAAGAGTTTTTGACAAATATCGTGAGATGTTTTCAGCGCAAAGCATTGCAAATGCATTGGAAAACCAATTAATTTCCTTGGAAAGGGTTTGAAGTGTGTTCGGAAATACATAACCTCAATTGAGTGTAGTTAAATGTGAACAAATGGACAGATAAATACCATCAAACTGTGCTAATCAATCAAAAAATATTATAACTGCCTTCTTTCTTGATTTTCACGTGAAGTTTCTGACTTGTCTTGACATAAGTGTTATGAATCGCAATCTTGCAACGCAGTTTTACGTATTCATAACAATTTTTAACAGCTTATTTAATAAGTTATGACAATAAAGTTGCAACGACGTATGAATCTATTTATTTATTTTGTAAATGCATAAATATTTGATTCAGTCACCTGAGCTAATGGAATATCAAATCAATTCGGGGCAACAGTGATAGAAACAAGCATTCCAGCCCAAAAAACATGTTAATTGCAATGGCGGAGAATGGCAAATGAGGCCGATTTGGAAGGGGTGAATCAGACAGAGAGAGTAAATAACAGATGGATTTCAATTGCGTGCTTGACAGATCAAAATCTCTGGGGCTACACAAGAGGCGGATGATAAAAGATGAGACACGAAAAAGTTATCTTGCGAATTGCGAAGATGGAGAGAATCACGCCACATCGCCTCTGCTTCCAGGAAATTGGAGAAAGCCGTGTATGTATTTCTTCAGTGTGTGAGAAAGAGGAGCTTTCATAATATTTTGACTTCATCCACTAATGGCAATGGGACGGAATGCCAAACAGAGAACAGAGAGAGAGAAAGAGTCATTAAAGTGTGAATAATAAATGCTCCGGGGGCGGAAAATGGAGACACAGAAATACATTGGATTGCAAGGAGTTGGAATATTGTTTGTGTGCTTAGAAATTTTCCCTCCTGTTTATTTATTATTCCTCTTTCAGCCCCGAAATTAACACAGAGTCTGGGCTGATGAGCCACGACTGACATCGTGTAGCTTCGCGACAGGGTTAATACAGTGGCTGATTGCTTCCTCATCTCGCAAAGCACATGGTTTTGTCAGCCGGATCCCCATGAATGTCACCGTAGTTGTGCCAGGATATTATAGTCTCCATATGAAAAGTTCATTCAGGCTCAGAAAGTTCATTCTTAATTGATTCGCTTGCGACAAGGGGGAGATAGTATGCCCTAAATTAGTACATCACTTCCAAACACTTCCGAAATTGCCTGGTGATTCTAGAATCTGAAGTTTTTTTTAGACTGTTTCCACATCAATTCCCAAATCATAATGAATCTCTTAAGTTTCTATTTGATATTTCTGAGAAGAATTCAGTTAAAAACGTATTTTTGAACATCTTTTCCGACCATAACCTCAAAATATCACTAAGAGATCTTCAAAAACTCCACTTGGAAGCTTTCTAGATCACAAAATGATCTGATTATGGTTTGCCTATGAACTAAAAACTGCTGATTCAGAGTCAAAATTGTGCAAAAAGCTTTCTAAATGAACATTTTTCAAGTTCGCATGACTCAGGATTTTAATTTTGAAAGCTTTTGATCACTTCCACTTCTTAAGTACTTCTTCTGAACTGTACACCACTTCTGACTGTATTATCCCCCCTTGGCTTGCTATAGAGCTGGAAAATCTGTTTGTCTGCCACTGGATTTAATGCCTTTCGATCTCTCAATATGAGCCAATTTCATAAATTCCACGCCAAAATTTAATTTTGAAGTCATTATATTGTTCGTTATTGAATATTTTTCGTATAGCTGCGCGATAAAAGTATGTAAAAAAATCGTTATTAAAAGCTTGTCACTGGAAATCAAATTCTCCAACCACTCAAAAATGATGAAATTGTGATAAATCAACCATGATAGATGAAAATTTACCGTGTGATGGGAAAAAAAGAGCGGAAATTATCCTCGAAGCGACCAGAATGATGAGTTGGAAGAAAATAATGAAAAGCTTTTGGGTGGAAGTGAAAAAGCTCTTGCATTTCGTATTTAATTTCGAAGAGTGTGGCGATAAAAATGTTGTTTATTTTCCACGACATTTCATTTCGCAATCCTTGGAAAATGTAGATTTCAGAGATTTCCTGACTCTCACAGAGTGTAATAACAGTGAAATCAAAGACTTTCTAGCTCAGAGAGAAATCATAAACATCCACAATTTGAGACGTGCTTTGGAGAAGGAAAATGCAATTTTATCTTGCAACTGTGAAAACATTGCAATTCAGAGCAACTTTTCCAATATCGCCATCAGGGTGAAATCCAGTCTGAGAATTCTCAGACTCGAATTTCTCTTGGGGTTCAGAAATCACGATGGCAATAATGAGGCTGAGAGATGGAGGCGTGAATTATTAACTTTATGCGTGTCAGGAGTCTAGGGAGTAGGCTCAAAAAGTTAATAAATTTCCATGTAATACACACACATAAAACAATTCCTTGGGCTTGGGAGAGAGAGAGCGACGGGCGGAGGGAAAAATGAGCTGAAGCTCGAAGGTGGCTTTTTCGGGACATCAAAAGGGATGCGAAATGGGTGGCAGTGAATGTGTAGAATTTCCCTTGTTTTCCACCCATATGTTATTCCCAAACTCCTTCACAGCAACATATTCGCCTTGTTAATAGTGCAGTTCCACCGAGGAAATTTCATAAATAAAGTCAAACACGTGTTTCGTGTATTTATCATTCCGCCATGCTCGAGAAGTCAACGGGAAAACGGTGACAATGGGGGTGGAAAGCAGCACGTTTTCTTCAGACAAATATTGGTTGCTCTGGCATTTTTCCTGCCACTTGCGAAGATCATCCGCAAGGCAAAAAGACTGCACAGATTCTGCCAAAGTTGGCTGGGCTTTTCGCGGGGGCGCACAAGAAAAAGGCAAAGAAAAATGCTTCACATGAGAGGAGGCGAGTGAAGTTGAAGGAGCGAGTCTATGAGTGTGGGTGGTGTCGTAAAAATTTTCCACCCAACATGTTATGCTTTCGCAACTTTTAAGGGAGACGCCGTGGAACTCCGCGCAATAAATTTCATTAATGCGCCACTTTATAAAGATCCACGTGACCTCGACTTAGCCCACAATTATGATATTTATGATGCCACATATCGCTGGCACAGTTGCTCGCGGAGAAATGGGCGAGATTAAACTTCTTTTTACTCCTGTCCGTGGGCGGGGCAATCGTGTGGGCGGGACTTAATTGATTTTTTCAAACTCTGAGTGGATTTCTTTGCAAAGTTGAAGGACGTCTGAAGAATTTCAGAAAATAATCCAAGTAATTTTGATTAAAATGCATTCCATTCTTCACGAGGATTTTCTCATTTCGCGAAAACTTCATTTCCCACCATGGATGGGGAGAGGGAATTTCTGAATTACCGTGTTATTCAATTATTTCATCACTTGCTGGAAGTGAATTGCTGCATTTTCCTCTGTGTCTAAGAATAGAATTCTTGCAGAAACTTCAGCCATTCTTCATCATTCACTTCCTCGTGCACACGTTCCAGTTGGCTGAGGAGTTCAATTAATAGTGTCATTTGAGCAATTTGAAAAATCCCAACCATGGAATTGTGTGAGGCGAGTCATTCCCTGTGGAATGACTCAATATAGAATCGAAATTGACGCGCGAATAGTGTGAGGAATTTTTTTTTTCATTTGTCCTGCGATTGATGGGCGTGAAGCCCGGAAGACAGAGAGGAAATTCCTGAGATGACGGGCAAATGGCTCGCAAAATTGGCGCTCGCATCTAATTTCAATGGAAATTAAATTCACGTCCATCCACCGTTGTTTTTCCCAGTTCATAAGGTGGGAGGTTTTCGTCTTTTTTGCCTCAGTTTTTGGTCGTTTGAGAATTTATTGCCATTCTCTTCTGCCTCATTCCATCGAATTCATGCGATTTTGGTGCAAAATTTAATATTTCTAGGCAATTTCCTGGAATTTCATTTGGATACTCTTCGGCATTCTTCGTCGTTAATTTTGGGTGAAGAAAAAACACCACAGAGAAACTCCAAGACAATAAAGAGAAAGACGCACAAATGTGCGAATCTTTCTGAGAAGTGGAACGAAAAATCACAGAGAGAGAGAGAGAGAAAACAGTGTGGCAAATTTATAAACAATTCCTCTTTAATGTTATTTCACAACTACAAATAGTATTCATATCAAACCTCGAATTTGTCAATTCAATTTTCAACCCCCTTCAATGATAAATTGAGTTTCCCAATCAGTGTGCCGAATTTTGTAGGCATTTTTATTGACATTCTATGGCCAAATAGAAAAGCAGAATAATTGGTGAATGCAAGCAACGCGAATCCGCAACAGCGTCAACAAATGCCCAGCGAAAGAGAATTATAAAGTACATCGGCATTGCGGTAAGCCGGTGAATTATGATTTTTTAATTGAAACCCGCGAGTGCGGTTTTTCCGCTCATGTTTCACCCACAATTTTATACTGGATGAAATTTACCACCGAACTTTGTGTTTGCTTAGTGATATACATTGATATTTGGCTTATGCACATTGTGTACTTCGAAATGATGATTAATGGTCGTTTAATCATTTTGGCCAGATGAGATTTAAAAGTGCTTTAAATTCTTTTTTATGCATGAGAATTGAAACAGTGATAAATTCTGGGAACTCATAAAATAATCACACAAAAATTTCATATTCATCCACAGTGTTTAACCCTTTCAGGGTGACAAGGAAAACTATAATTTCAGTCAGTGATTAATTCTGCTTCGACTTTGAAGCTAAATTTATCCTTCTGGAGTGTTTTCTCCGCCAGAAAATAGCAAATGATATCGAAAGTCTTCCGATAAACCACAACAAAACAAGATAAACTGCCACGACGTCCAGCGATGTTTTCTGGAGCCAGAGAAGATCGGCGGCTTTGGACTTGAGATGAGAAGCTCCTCTGTGTCTGATGACGTATTCTGTCCAGTAAATTGCCGTCTGCAGAGCTGTCATTGGACGATCTCTGAAGAGATTCGAAGCTCTTCGCGCGGCGTTTTGGTATTTCGCATCGCTGAGGACTTCATTAATGGCTGCGGAGAGATTTTCTTCTGTTAGTCCTCTGGAATCCAAGACCACTGCCCATCCCTCTTGCTCAGCTGCTTCCAGATTGAGTAGCTGATCAGCGAAAAAGGGAATTCCAACAATGGGAACTCCATGACATCTGGCTTCATTCATGGCGCCCAAACCGCCATGCGATATGAAGAGTTTCACGTTTTCATGAGCTTGCAAAATCAAGTGAAAATTTAGCATGGAAACAATAATTCAACATTGCAATTTGCACACCTAAAATATCAGCTTGTGGCATCCATTTCTGGATCATGACGTTCTTCGGGAGATCCGCTAAATCATCATCTTCCCATTTGAAGAGGACTTTCTGCTGGAGTTTCGAAAGCGTCGCAATGAGAGTCTTAAGCATTTCCGGTGGAAGGAAGGATGTTTTCATGTTGGAACCCAAGCTGAAGAAAATTACTCCAAATTCAGCTTCATCGATAAAATCTTGAATCTCCTAAAGAACACATTGAGTTAGATGATTTCTTCAAATCTCCCAAGAGTGATAAGAGCGTTTACAGACTTGTGGGTTACTCTCCAATCGACGGGAACTGGGATAAATCCTCCGTGGATAAGCTTGGAGTGTGCAAAAGTCAGTTGAGCGATAAGTCGTGGTTGATCTGTACATTTATACAATTCGTGGCTAAATTGGCGCTAAACACACTCAAAGGTTATTCTCCTTTATCGACGCTAGCGCCACTTTAGCTTCATGTTCCGCTCTCAGCTGTCAATTGATTTGTTTATTTGGTTAAAAAGCGTAGAATTTTACGATAAGATTGCGAAAATGCAAGATTCACAGAAGAATTAATTGATTTTGAGATTCCACGAAATCATTCGCAAAAGATCCGCCATTTTGTGGGCTTTGAGCGCTTTGAGTTGTGAAATGTTTGTGCAAATTTCCGACCGAACGCGCGGCCGTCGAGAATACCATAAATATCGGTTTAACTTTCGATATATCGAGGGATTAGTTGCGCTTTACGGCTCAACCGTCAATCGTTCCCACTCGCGCTCTCGCTTATCCTCTCGTGGATCACCCTCAAGTCTGTAATCGCCCTGAGAAACTCACTTGAGGCAGATGATCTGGAGTGGTTTTAACATGAAGTCCTCCAACCGGAATGACATTTGGCACGAAAGCCTTCGATGGACTGACGCTAAAGTGATCATTGACGAAGATCAGACTGACATTCTTCTTCATCTCTTCGTATGTTTTGTACTTTGGACTGGGAAAGTTGTGTCTGAAATACAAGAAAAGATTGTCTAAAGTCATGAAATGTTGGGGAATTTGATGAAGAAAAACCAACTCGTAGTAGATTTTCTCTCTCCAATTGATGATAGCCCAAATGAACTTCTCAACAGCGACGAAGGCAAAATTCCGGAATCTATTGAAAAAGGTCATCTCTGTGGCCTTTCCCAGTAGGAAATGAGGTACAAATGCAACTGTCGATGGATTTCCACTCATGTCGTTGATAAATTCTGTCGCGGGGGCTGAAAAAATCGTTATCACGGGGCATTTGAAGTGATCTCCGAGTCCAATGAGGAATGTGTTGAAGAACATCTCCACGAAAATGAGATCGAATGACTCTCCTCTGGCTATTCTCTGGAATTCCGCGGTGTGCAGAGTGAAATTGGCTGCTTGGAGTGTTTGACGAAGTATATTGACAGTAAGTCGCAGTGTTCCAAAGTGAGACCATCCCTCGAGAGGGAATTTCTCCATGAGATCTGAAATGAACACCAAATTCAGTCGTCTTTTTCCCACTTTTCTCTTGTCAAATGCACGAAACCTTTCCGATCAGCTTGTGCTCCTGTTGCAATTTGAATGTGTCTGTAGTTCTGCAGCTGCTTTTCCGCGGGAAAACTACTCAAAACCGTCACTTGATGACCCTCTTCAGCCAAACCCTTCATCAATCCGGACGCAAAAATGAAATGCGACCGAATTGGCGTTGGGAAAACGCAGAGAATTTTTGCTGCTGAACATTGTGTGAAGCCAATGATCGCGAAAAAACCCACAATAAACACAAAGCGAGACATTTATTGCTGGCCTTGACAGACTTAATGTACAGCGCAAGCGCGAATAAAATGCACAGAAAACATTCAGAAATCGGAGTTCGCGTCGATTCAACTCGACAGTTGAATTTCTACTGGCTTTAAATATATAAAATGCCAGTCTGGCAAGTCAGAATGACAAAGAATTGAAGACAAAAAACAGTCACATCAACAGTCTGTGAAAGTCTGAATTCTCTTATCGTGCTCTGACTTTGTTAATCTTTCTTTGCTTTTCGCGCCGCTGAAGAATTTATCAATTTCACAATTTTCCAAGAAATCCATATCAATAGAATATAAACTGCCACAACGTCCAGCGATGTTTTCTGGAACCAGAGAAGATCGGCGGCTTTGGACTTGAGATGAGAAGCTCCTCTGTGTCTGATGACATATTCTGTCCAGTAAATTGCCGTCTGCAGAGCTGTCATTGGACGATCTCTGAAGAGATTCGAAGCTCTTCGCGCGGCGTTTTGGTATTTCGGATCGCCGAGGACTTCATTAATGGCTTGAACGAATGAATCTTCAGAAAACTTCCTGTGATCGAGAATTACAGCCCATCCTTCGTCCTCAGCCGTCATTGCATTGAAGCTTTGATCGTCGTAAAAGGGAATTCCAACAATTGGCACACCGTGATATTTCGCCTCATTCATCGCGCCTAAACCGCAATGAGTAATGAAGAGTCTCACGTTTTCATGAGCTGAAAGAAAATGCGTTATCGAACAGATTTCTTGACTTATAAAGCGTTTTCACACCTAAAATATCAGCTTGTGGCATCCACTTCTGGATCATGATGTTCTTCGGGAGCTCAGGAATGCTGTCATTTTCCCATTTGAAGATAATTCTCTCAGGACGAGTTGAAAACACTTTCAAGATTATGTGAAGCATCTTCGATGGTAGAAAAGATGTCTTCATTCGTGAGCCCAAACTGAAGATAATCACTCCAAATTCTGCATCGTCAATAAACTCTCTTAATTCCTAGGCGAAAAATCAATCTTCCATTATTAAGAATATCTTGCAGATTCCAAGAAAACAGTCTCAATAACTTGCCTGCGATAGTTTATCTGGTTTGGCTTTAATATGAAGACCTCCAACAGGAATAACATTTGGCAAGTAAGGTCTTGGCGAAGTGAGGCTAAAGTGATCATTGACGAAGAACAAACTGACGTTCTTCTTCATCTCTTCGTAAGTTCGATACTTTGGGCTGGGAAAGTTGGCCTCATAATACACACTTTCCCTCCAGTTAAGGACAATCCAGACTACTTTCTCAGCCACTGTGAGACTATAGTTGAGGATTCTGTCGAGAAAAGTCATCTCACTGACTTTTCCGAGCAGAAAATTGGGCACAAAGGCTGCCGTTGACGGATTTCCACTCATTTCATTGATGATTTCCGTCGGAGGCGAAGCGACAATCAAGATCACGGGGCATTTGAAGTGATCTCCGAGTCCGATGAGGAACAAATTGAAGAACTTCTCCACGAAAACCACATCAAATGACTCTCTATCGGCAATTTCGAGATATTCACGACTGTTTAGAGTTGTATTTGCCGCTCTGAGAGTTTGAGGCACGGAATTTGCAAGGAGTCTTAGAGTTCCGAGGCTGAACGAACTTTCACTGTGGAATTTCTCCATTGTTTCTAAGAGAAAGATTAGCTTTGAGAAACCTCACAGCATTCTTCTTCTGCAATTACCTCTCTCGTCGATTGTCACTCGTGTGTCAATTCTAATATATCTGTAGTTTCTTATTGGTTTCTCCAATGGAAAACTACCGAAAACCGTCACTTGATGACCCTCTTCAGCCAAACCCTTCAAAAGTCCCGTCGCGAAGATGAAATGCGATCGAATTGGAGTTGGAAAGACACCTAAAATTCTCGCGGCAAAGCTTTGAGAACCACCAAAGACACACAATACACTAAATAAGATTAGAATTCCTGACATTATTGCAGATTTGTGTCGTTTTATCGCGGTTGCTGCACGACTAATGATACTTGAAGCTCACTTAATTAAAGCAACGACACGTTGCTTTTTTTTCTAAATTTTACTACAGCCTTAACTTTAGCAATTATTCCAATTTCTGCAAGGTTATTTATATAAGAAAAAATGTGTAATTCTTCCTCTCGAAGAGACTGATATGAATTTGATTGTTTCACGCTTCGCAGAGAGCGCTTTATTGGCCTTTTTTTCCACTTTACAGGGTTGATATTGTATTTGACTGACAGTGGGAGAATGAAGGGAGGTTTTGTGGTATGTAAACAAGCGAGATATTGAGGGTGCTTGCGATATATTTGCCCTAAGGATATGCACATTATTTGCATTCTAAAGTGCCAAGAGTCCGCGAGATCGCGAAGGGAGGAAGGGCGATTGCGTGTGCTTGTGCAAAAGGGGTGGTTTCTCGTGCGGGTGGTGAATATCATGAGTGTGCAATATGAGTGAAATATTATTGCAGTCTTCTCGCGACTGCAATGAATAATTCACGGTGAACATGAAGGGCTTTTTCCGTACACTCGTGAATGCATATCAATCGCATTTGGTGTTTTTTTTCTGACAATGCCAAAATTGATTGATGTCTCCACAAAATGCCACTCAACTCGCGAAGTCATATTCATCCAAACATCACGAGATGCTTCGTGTAATTTACAAAATTGCCAAGCACTTTTGACAGCCATTTCCACCACCAAACACTGGCGCACAAAATCAATTCACTATGCCAAATAATTTTCTCGCAGTGCCCAAAATTCACCCCTCGGAATAAACACATATTTGACACATTCAAATTGCATGAGCAAACACTGCTGGGGAATTTATTTTCCCAGATCCTCTTAATTGGCAATTTTCTCCAACTTTGATTTCTTTCGCGCCGCCCAAAAAGCTCTCTGGGAATGAGTAAACATGCAAATATTTAGCATTGCAAGCATAAGTCAGGAAGCTAAATTTTTATGCTTCAAATATTTCCTAATGTCTCGCCAAAAGCTATTTGAACAAGTGTTTAGCGGAGGAAAAGAAGAAAAATATCACCTTCTTGACTTGCCATTGGCTCTCATCGTTGTATTGATTAAAAAGCTGGGTAAGGAAACTTCTCTCAAGTGCTTTTTCTCCACCAGTAACAATATAAACTTCTCTCGAGTGTCATTGAGTTTTAAGAGACTGGGCGAGACTTTTTTTCTCCCTCGGAGAAGAAGAAGAAGCGGAAAAACTTTTGTTATGCTCTCGAAGAAGCCAAAGAAAAGCTGACAACATTATTTCCATGTTTTTTTTCTCTTTCTCTTTCAGTCTAACATAACACATGCGTTTGTTAATAAATTTCAGCTGAAATGTGATATTTTGCCCTTTCGACAAGCGCCTCTTAAATGTCAGAACATCGCACATAAATTGAAAATGAAATATACGAGTAGAAAAATTGAAGTCATAAATAATGAAAAAGAAATTAATTTATTTGTGATGATATTTCATAGAATTTCACCAATATGTTTCCGACGTGAATCTGAAAAAAAATGAAGATTGACAGTTTCTGTGCCACAATTGATGTATTTACAAGCGTTTGCGCAATATTTTCAGTGTGTTTCTATTGACTTTTGTGACTTTGTAATGCAATTTTCATGCACAAATTATCGAGAAAAACACCAGAAATTAATATTAACAAATTTCATGCTATGATTTTTTTTATAAATTAATTTCATTTGCGTAATTATAATTGTATTTCACTGTTATGCAGCCCAATGCAATAAGGTGAAATGAATTCGATGAAATCAATGCAATTTCGTTTGAAAGTTCATTTTAAAGCTTTTGTGTTCTGTTTTAATTGACATCGACGGGCTCATCGAAAACGATGAAAAGTTAAAATCGTCGCTTTTTATAAGATCGAATTGAAAATTAAGCGTTAATTTCGCTGCGAAATTAGCCAAATTTACTTCAAAACTCTCAAAATCTGTTCCAATTGAGCTGTAATTATTATTTTGTACATTTTTCAAAGAAATATGGAAAAAAATTAATAGTAAAACTGAAAATATTAATTAATTAATTTAATTAAATTTATTAATTATGATTTTTAAAAAAAATTATTTTCTAAATATTTAATCAAAATTTAATTAAATTAATTAATTTCGAAAGTTGATTTTGAACAGTTTTTGAGTGTATTTTGTCTATGCGAGTTCTAGAAAATCAACTTTTCATACTTCAAATGAACTTTTCTTTGAAGTATGAAAAGTGAAAAGATTTAAAAATATAAGAAATATTTATTTATAGCCTAAGAACATTTTAGGATAATTCTGAGAATCTAAAATTGAATGAAATGAAAAATTGAATTTTCAGTTTTCCATTCACTCTTCGACATAGAAATGCTTTAATCCATTATTTTTATATCATTTGTTAATTAATAGGAACAAGAGATATAAAACCAATAATACTCGTGAAGTAGTTTTCACTTTTTCGTGGACTTTTGTCGCCATTTTTATTTGCGACTTCTTTGAAGAACTTTGGCAATTAATTATGTAAAATTTTATATGTATAATTTCACAAGTTTTCCTTGTGATTCAGTGAAAATAATCCCACTGTAGAATTTATTAATCAAAAGCCAACTGGATCGATTGTCTCTCAAGGCGCACTTAATGTGATGAATTTTGTCAAGCTGAAATGGGGAAAAATCACATTTCTTCACACTTGCTTCTTCGTGGGTTTCCTTTTCATGTCTCAGGAGGGAAATATTTAATGCGGATGTCGCTCTAAAAATACAATTTCCACCCATAGAAACTCCACATCCGTATACATTTTGTCGGGATCCTTTTTCGCGTTGTATATCGTTAAAATTTCACTCTTGCCATGCAAAGAATGTGATTCACCGAGAAAATAAGCATATTTAGAATCTTATTCACACACACACACACACACATTTTCCTCCACTTCGTCTTCAGCTCCTCACGATGGCATTCCAATGAAGACTTCCTCAGAATGTGACTCCTTGCCATGGCATGTAGATAAGCCAGAGCTTGCGAGATTGGATGGAGAATAATTTTGCCGTAGTCAATTTGCAGTGTAACACCCACGGAGTATTTCTCACCATATCCAAGGATGCCTTATTAATAATACGAAATGGATCGTAAAGAATCCACCCGAAGCCTCCCATTTGGGCCCATCTTCACTCGCACGCACGCATCCGTGAAAATCTTTATGGTTGAGCTGATATTCTTATTGGTTGTGGATATTTGGTGTCTATTTGAGGGGTTGTATGAAAGACTCCTTAATAAATTCCCCACGCTGAGGCTCAACAACTGTGTCGAGGGCAGTTCTTTTGTACACTCTGACAGACTAAAGCGCTCAAGGGGAAAATCACTCGCAAGTTGAGACCATTAACTTTGTGATTATTCAATCATTTTTATTCATTATTTGTAATTACTATTCAAATTTTGATAATTTCATACAAATTCTTATTATTTTCTGAATATTTGATTAAAAATTATTGATTTCATACAAATTTTCATTATTTTTCAATTATTTTCCGAATTTTTGATTAAAAATTGTTTATTTCATATAAATTTTGATTTTTTTAAAATTATTTGTGATTTAAATTCAAATTATCAATATTTCATACAAATTAATGATTTTTTTAAAAATTATTTTCTAAATATTTAATCAAAATTTGAATATAATTGATTAATTAGGAATATTTGGAATATTCTGATTCATTGATTGAAAAAAAAATCATTCTTTTTTTATTATTAAATTCATAATTTGATTTTTAAAATTAAGAATTTGATTATTATTCAATTTTAACTAGGGAAAATAATCTCTTTCTTTATTATTTTACTCAAATAATTCGTTACTTAATTAGAAAACATTAAGTTTCCTCAAAAATCGCCTTATGATTTGCCCTTTGAAAGCTCTTTTCCTAGCAACTAACGTAGTTTAGAGGAAAGAAATATGCTTGAAATTCGATAAAGCGCAACATTTCTATGAAATAAAAATGTCTGAAAGTATGAATATTATAATAATGGGTTTTACTAAAGCTTTGTCCATATTTTCAATCTGTTTCTGGTGTAATGAGAAATTCCTAGAAAAATATTTCAATGCGTAGCAACAAATATGCTCGATTTGAGAATTATATGCATTTTCCTCATGATAATGGTGTTCATCCCCTTTCAGTTATATCACAGATTCAGATATTAAAAAATGTTGCAAGAATCTTTCTTTTATATGTGAATATTAATGTGAAAATAATTTCATATAATTCTTGAGAAATTTACATATTTACATGCACATCAATGCACTTAAGTGTGTGAAAAGCTCGAAGGAAGCGATTGAGAAATGCCAGAGATTCCAGAAAGTATTTCATTAAAAGTCTGCTGATGTGAGAATCTTGATAATATCTCCGTTCGAGTGACCCGAATCGTGTGCTCTCACTTCACTTGGCGCTCCGTGTTTCCATCTTGTGCTGAATGAAGATGTATCAACAGATAGCTATTGTCAAGTCATAAATCGATCTATGGGTGTATTATTGCCTCCTAGAGGCATCCGGCTTATTCCTCTTTCATCTCCCAGGCACATTGTTATCTTCCTGAGATGGTGCGTCCTTCACTTGTGGCAATTGTCATCTGCTGAGAGGCTGTGGAGGCACTTTGGTAATTTAGCACACCATCTCAGCCCCTGCCTTCGCTTCCCTTCGGCCAGGACCAATTACAGGGACATCCACTCCTTCCACATTCACTGCTGGCTAAGCCAAGGGGGAGATAATACGCCTAAACTGTAAACTGTGAGAATCAGAGACACTTTCAGGACGTTAGCCTTGCTTCAAACATGCGTTTTTCATGTATCATAACCACAAATTTAGGAGTCTTTTGTCTAGAAAGACGCCCTTTTTACTTGTGTGACCTGGAAGAACTTACAAAGAAACAATTATTTATCAAAATATTTGAAGTTTCCAGTGGATATTTTGATGTGATTTAATTTTCAATCGCTCTTTTGGATGCACTTTTGATCATAACCTCAAAATTATTTTGAAATATCTAGAAGAATCCTTAAAAAACTTATTCGGAATGTTTTATTTGAGCTGAAATTTGCTATTTTAAAGTAGAAAATCAATCAAACAACTCCAAAATTTGACAATTTTGCACCCTGAAGCAGTAATTTAGAGGTTATGATCAATCTTAGCATAATTAACACAGTTTAAAATTGAAAACTTGTGATCTTCAACAGATTCACGATGCACGATCGACAACAGATGCATCAATAGTAATTAATTTTGGAGTTTATTTAGCAGTAAAATATTGTCTTAAATTTATAACATAACCTAGAAAAATTCTTTTTCTCTAATTATTGCATTAATTCCTTGTGAAAGTGATTTTTGGACGCGCGATATTGAAAATATTGAAACACTTTTGCTGAATTGTACACAATTTCTGGCCAAAATATCTCCCCCTTGGGCTCAACACAGGGCTAAACATGTCCTAAGCATATTCTTGTGTGAATGGCGCAATATTGCATAGAGAGAGAGAGAGAGAGAGAGAGAGAGAGCAGAGAACATGGGAATTCTTATCAAGCTTCGTCAAACATTGGCAAAATGCAGTTCAAAGCTGGGAGATTTATTCGCAAATGAATATTGCATAGCATTCAAATTTTATTCCCGCCCAGAAATGCTGGAAGGTAATTGGATTTAGTGAAATACAAACAGCGATTGATTTCTCATTAATTGAGTATGAATGAAAAGCGGTGGCAAAACTTGTTTCAAACTCCACCCAAAATTCAATCAAGTTTCGAGAGGTTGAGAGACGAAGAACAAGATAAGATCATTATTTAATTGTTCTTCTTCCTCCACCTTGTCTTCGCCTTCTCTTCGACAATGTCTTCTTTTTGCCTTGTTCGCCATAAGATGTCCACTTCAAAGTCGCAGTGCTTGATTGAAGAGTTGAGACATTTAGTGAAAAACAAGTGGGTTTTGGCTTCTGAAACTTCGTCTTTCTCCCAACCTTTTGAAGGCTTAATGCAATAATTGGCAGAGTGGCGTTGTTTATTGATAAAAGGATTGGGGAAGTTAAAGGTGAACTTTGTTTACAATATATTATCCAGGAAACATTTGAAAGGCACGAATCAATACGGCGCAGAAATTGTGAGGAACTTTCTGGCTTCACGTGAAAAGGATAAACTATACATATATTAACTTGGCTGCGGTGTTTGACAGTCTTCGTGGAGATGCGATGGAAAAGTTATTTATTTGTTTGCGACAAATTCGAATCAAATCGATTTTTGCCCACTTCTCGTGTGGCTATCATGGCCAAAGACACACTTTTGAGTCAATATTATGTCTGGAAATAGAATCTTTCAGGAAATTCCATCTCATCTCGCATCAACACTCGCACCGTGTTGAATTTTCTCATGGAGAAAATGCGATGCCAAAGCCTTTGTTGAGTTAAATATCTAATGACTTTGGGGGATGAAATTCATGAGATCACATCATCATGATGACATTTGACGTTGCTGAAGTTGTTAAGTCAATTTCGTTTCATTTAGAAAGTACAGCAGCGGCAGGAAATTGTGCAGAGTTCGCCGTGGGAGAGCACATATTCATGAAAAATAGATGTCTTTCCTCATGTTTACCTCTTTTTCAGTTTGTCGCACATTCGACGCCTCTCAGCACACCTGTTTCTCCCTCTTGCCATCCAATTCCATTATCTCACCCCGCCAAGACTTCCCACTTTTGCATTTTTGAGGCTTTTATAATTTCTCGAAAATTCTGTTGGAAAGCATCGCACGATATTCAGGCTCTCAATCGACTCAAGGGAAATTATACACTACATTAAACCCCTATTAAAAATGTTTCATAGTAAAAATAGTCAATTTGATCAGTAAAAAGTGTCGTAAAAATACTATTTTTACTGTTTAGTCAGTAAAAACATCATTTTGTCCAATAAAAATATTAATTTTGTCAGTAAAAAAATAGTTTGCTGTTTGATCAGTAAAATATTGACTTTGCTTAGTAAACCGTCGTTTTTTTTGCAATGTAAAGATTGTACTTTGCTCAGTATTTTAATTTCTCTTGATTACTATAAATGTGAATTTATATTTACCAGGCATAAAATACTTCTTCAATCCGAGAATGTAAATAAATTTCCCAATATTCATGATAAAATATTGAGCTTTTAGTGTTGTAAAAAGAGGCTCAAGTTAGAGCGCATTTTCTATGTCACACATAATGGCGCATATGAAGATCATCTTTAATTTTAAACCGCCAAATTCGCCCCTATGAATGAACTGACATTTGCCGTTTTTACATAAATGAGACCATGAATTATAATATTTCCATCAAGAAGCGCGCCGTGACATTTTTTTCTCCCCCGTCAGCAAAGTGTGTTTTCCTTTTAATCTCTGGGCGCTGTTGCCCAATTCATTCGCGCTATTGTATCTCAAGTGTGTGTGTGTTTGTGAATAAATCGGACACGAAAAAATGAGGTGAATACCGAAAATAGCCTCAGCGCATGATCACTGATCGCTTCCTCTCGGTGGAAAAGTCACACATCGCTGTGGAAAAGTTGACGATCGTCCCAGAGGTCGACACAGTCGCCCCAAAAAAACGCCCACCGTCCGTTTTTCCATCTCGCGATCCTCGGGGAAAATTCTCAGTTGGCGATCTGTGGCTCCGCATGAGAGTCCACACGCGATCGGGACGCGTCCTTTGGATTTTCCCGCTGGATCTGAGTGATATTGTGGGTGTCTCGCGAGGACTTGTGAAGGAGTGCGAAGTGAGTTCTGTGGGTGTGGAAAGGGTGTGCAAAGTGTAGGGATTCTAGCGAAGCTGGAGGATATCAGCATAGGTAAATGAGAAATTGATGACTAGTGGAAATCCTCATATGCTTTAGCATGAAAAATATGTTTTTTTTTTTTAATATATAATCATCATCTCTATTTATTGCCATTCACGTACAGTGACTGGCAAAAGTGTCCAGACGTTGTGATACACAAATGTGAATCGCCACCAATTCTCCGAGTGTATTTCTGCTCATCACTGTTTTATACGAATTTGTTAACTACGCAGCAGTCAGTCTGAGAATTTTCATTTGCGGTGTGTTATTCTCTTTTCTGCTCCTGTAGTTGTTTCACTCCAAAAGTGCTCGTAGAAATCTTGGCAATTTTTGCTTGCGACAGCCAACTCACAGGCTATAAATTTAGAAATTACATTTTCCCAATACAAAAGCCACTCTCGGCAATCCTATCGCAAAATTGGCTCTGTCTCTTTCTCACCCTGTCTTGGCGAATTTCTTTCTTTCTTTTGCTCCTTTAAGGCGTGCAATATTCTCTCATTGCGTGCTATTTTTCCACCCAAAATGCGAAATCCTGTTGATGTTCCATTGAATAAAATTTATTTGTGTGAAAATGAGAAATCTAGAGTAAATAAATAGAGAGAATAAATGGGTGGAGAAAATCGCCTGACGACGAAAAGAAAAAAATCTCTTTGCTCGCAATTCTCTCTCTCACGATGATGATGATGATGATGACGCGATTGGAGTCTGTGAGCGCCAAGTTGAACATAAAATTTTTTGGTAAATAACATAACAGTCGGTGTGGACTTTCTCAAAATAAATCCCAATCACACTATGTAGTCACGACCGCGAAAGCACAGAAACTCTCGCTCACGTCACGCGTGAAGAAAGGGTGATCATTTCACGATAACAAATGAGCTCCACTTTTCATGCTCAATTTTTGCAGACGAGGCACTTTTCATGACCAATCACTGGGTATTTGTGGTGAATCAATTGTGTGGACGAGTCTCACCTTCAGCAAAAATAGCAATTAGGCGTGAGTGTCATTATCAAACAGTTTGTGTACTCAATTCAATTGCACACACACACGCCGAAAGAGAGCACTCAAAATAAGCACTCGTTTAGTGTTTTCATTCGCATCATGTGTTGTTTCTCTGGCCCCGCCCATCTAAAAGCCCCGCCCAGTTGCATGATTCTAACCCCACTTCTTGTTTCTCATCTCTCACTCCATCGCCAGACGACAGAGATGCCCGTGAATGGCGCTGCGAGCAAGGGTTCAGGGCCGTCAAGGACGACATTTAGGCCACCGTGGGTGAAGGACAAGGATGGCGACAAGGCTCCGTCGCCGTCGAAGCTCAAGTCTGCGGAGAAGAGCGAAAGCCCCAAGAAGACTGTTCCAGAGCCCAAGGAAAATGGCCAGCCGAAGATGAGTGTGAAACTGCAGTCGCGCGAGGTGAAAGTGCCCATCATGACAGAGACGAAGCGACCTTCTGTGCAGCCGCTGAAGAAGAAGGAACCACCACCGAAGGAGGAGTCAGAAGAGTCTGAGTACACATCGGAGACAGAGTCCTCGTCGGAGTCAGAGCCGGCGAAACCCCCGCCGAAGGTGGTGAAGAAGGTGGTGGAGACGACGAAGAAGAAAGCCGCTGAGGAGGCAAAACCGACGAAGAAACTGCAGCGAAATGACTCAGAAACGGAATCGCGATCGAGGAACAAGTTCATGGAGGAGGTGAAGCTGAAGCCGGTGCTGAAGAAAACGCCCAACGTCGATGAACTGCCCGAGAGGCCAAAGTCCATGCTCCTGGAGACGCCGGTGCTGAAGAAGGTGGTGAAGCCGGATCCGGAGGACTTGCCGGAGAAGCCAAAGAATCAACTGCCTGAGCAGCCGGTGCTGAAGAAGGTGGTGAAGAAGGAGGCGCCAATTGTGCCAAAGTCCAGCGAAGCTGAGTGGAATAACTTCCAGCTGAAGGGTGAGTTTAACATAGATTCGTCATTGACACTGACGGGCGAAATGAGAGGCAGAAGGAAACTCAGGTGTGGGCGCGAAAATAGATGTGCGACAAACGGACGTTTGAGTGAAAGAGCGGGAATTTTAATTAACAAACTCATTGGTGAAATATGATGGATTTTTTGGCTTGTTTACACACACGCGGTACTGAAATATAAATTAACACATGATGTTAAATGCAAATTGAAAAATTCACAACAATGTTCACGCGATGTGAAGCCAATAAATCCCAATGAAAATGGTTTATTTTGGACATTTTGGGTGTGAGAATTCCCAATTCAAGCCAATGCATTTTCACGTCATGTTGAATTACTTCATTTTTGTACTTTGTGCTGATGCGAAAGCATCTCTGGATGTGATTAAAGTGATATGACGTGCATGCCCGACCATAAAACTGACAAAACTGTTCACAAAAACATTTCAAAACTTCCCAATAAAAACATATTTTCCTCATCGCAATTTTCAATGAAGTGCGCAAATGTCAAGCAATTCAGAGAGAGAGAGAGAGAATGTTTAAGAGTTTTTCAAGCTCGAGGCAATTCTTCTTCGTGACCATTTAGGCAACTTTTAATAAAGTCCTAATGAAGCTTTTCAACTTTTTCCCACTCTCTCTCTCTCTCTCTCTGGCAGCTTTTCCCGGCGACATTTTGAAAATCCCTCCATCAATACATGACATTTTTCTTCGCACTTGTCAAGCCGAGAAACGAATGCATTCAAGGGGAATTTCAGCGTCTTTTGACATGGAAAAAGGAAAATATAACGAGAGGAAAAGAAGTGTTGACTTGTGTGAATAGATGTGAATTCGTTATCGTCAGCTCAGATGCAACAAAGTGAAGTTTTTGGCAAAATGCATTTTCTAAATGTATTCGCGCAGTGGAAATTGAGGAACGCGCCAATTGAATGTGGGCGCAACAAATTGGGTTATAAATATTTACACGCTTGACATTCATTCCAGATTCCCGCATTTTAGGACTTGAAAATAATTTCTAGCTGAGTGAAATTAATGGAATAATCAATGTTCAGTGAATTTTTACAATCAATTAGCTAATTTAGCTCAAAACCCCGCAAAATGCAGAAAAAACACTGGGACATTTCGTTTGTATTCTTCATCAATTTCTTGTATTCTTATTCATTACAAGGGGGAGATAACAAGCCTTAATCTGTACACCACTTTCAAACACTTCTAGAATCTGAAGTTTTTAGACTGTTTCCACATCAATTCCCAAATTAAAACGAATCTTTTAAGTTTCAACTTTAAAATGCCATTTTTGGACATCTTTTCCAACCATAACCTCAAAATCATCTGTTTATGATTTGCCAATTAACTCAAAGTTGCCGATTAAGGGTCAAAATTGCCCAGAAAGTTTTCCAAAAAAAAACATTTTTCAAGTCCACCTCAATATTTTTGAGGTTATGTTTGAGTTTAATACAATTTCAAGTGTTTCTTGGCATCAAATATTCAGAAAAGCACCATTTATTGTATAATAATAATTAATTCTGATGAAAACTAGTGATTTCTCCGACTTAAACATAAGAATTGATGTGCTAGAATCTGTCTTTGATTTGTTACATAACCTAGAAAAAGATAATTGTGATTATTTCTACAAGAAAATCGAAGAAAATCCAAAGAAATTCGACAATTTGTCGGTAAAAGAAGTAGTATAGAATGGAAAATTATATATTTTTCAACAATTCAACTTCTCAAGTACTTCTTCTGAGCTGTACACCACTTCTGATTGCGTTATCTCCCCTTGATTCATTATTTATTCGTCTCTATACGAGTTTCTAATCATAAATAAGTATGATTCAAATTGTAGGTTAATTTGAGTTGTAATCCTGAAATAATTAGACTGTACAGAAATTGAGGAATCATAATTTAAGAACTTAATTCGCTTTTTAAGCATTCCATTGAAGAGCAATTAGGAAATGATGAGTGCATTTCTAAGCTTTATCACTACTTTGTACATCATTTGCAAGCATTTCCCTTGAGCACAAATCATACACAAAACTGTATCACATTGATAGCACATTCATTTTTCATAATCCCTGCGAGAGAATGAAGTTGAGCTCCTCGTAGGGATAATGGGAAAGTATGTAGCAACTAATTCGAGACTATGTTTTCCTGAATAAATCATTACGACATCTTCTGCGAAAAAGGTGAAATGGGAAACATGGTAAATATATGTTGAGGGAAATAATGAGGAAAATGTGATAAAGAGTTGGAAATGTTATAGTTTCGTTCTCTCTCTCTTGTACTCCAACTAATTAGTTATTAAATATGCAAAATGTACACGTAGCCTAATTCAATTCCTTTCAAACATAGACGAAAGGGGCATGATTAATTTTCCTCTCTCTCTGCAATACTTCAAACGGCTTTCATTGTTCCTTTCACGGAATTGCCTTGTAGAGAATTCAACTGAAACATTACCCACGCATATAAAGTTATGGATTGGATTTACCTGGAAATCTTTAGTTCGTTGCTTCGGAAATTACAATGTTAGTGAATATGTCGTGGTGGAATTTTTGATTTCACTTTCATTAGCTTCATTGAGTTAGTTTGAAAACTGGTAATTATTTTTGTAATTAAAAATTAATTATTTCTCCTTGTTGGGCCGTTTTTATTATGGTTTTTCACTTTATTATTTATGAAATTCTCAATAAAGAGCATAAAAGGATTGGAATATTTCATATTATTCTCATAATATGACTGTGATTGATAAAAGAAAATGCAATGATTCTTTCTAAATCAACCCAATTTCACTCTTCAACAGCTCCACCGCCTCCTCCTCCCCCTATTCCCGGAATGCCGCCGCCGCCACCCCCGCCGCCCAGCGCCGGTCCGCCGGCGGACTTCGAGAAGAAGCCGCTGAGCAACACGCAGCAGAAGACGCTGGAGCGCCTGCGAACGCGTCCAAGACGCCGTCCGGACTGGTCTGAGATGATGGCGGAGGTGGAGCAGGGCAGGAAGCTGCGCCACGTCGAGTGCAACGATCGCTCGCGGCCAATCCTCACGTGCAAGTCCATGACGAAGGTCAAGGGGCAGTTCATATTCGAGACGGAGAAGGCGAATGCGCACAACGCTCTGCTGCAGCAGATTCAGTCGGGCATCAAGCTGAAGCCGACGAAGTGCAACGATCGCAGTCGTCCTGTTCTGCAGGGTCTGCGGAAGTTCAGGCGCCAGATGACGATTGAGGAGCAGATCCAGAAGTCCGAGTCCAGGGCCACACTCAGTGAGCCGCCGCCGGAGGAGGAGGAGGACGAGATGGATGACATTGACAAGCTGCGCGACGATCTGCAGAGCACGAAGCAGATGCTGGCGCTGGAGTTGAGGAACAAGGAGGCGCACGAGCGCGAGAACAAGCGCCTGCAGGCGCGGATACAGAATCTGGAGGCGGAGCTGGAGCGAGAGCGGTGGTCAGTGACTGGTGAGCCGGTGCAGAGGGTCAACACGCAGCCGGCGGAGGAGTTGGTGCAGTCGCTGAAGACGGAGGCCGAGGACGCCCAGAAGCAGGCGACGATGCTGGAGAAGAAGTATCAGGACACGGCGGAACAGTTGGACAAGGCGAAGACGGAAATTGAGGAGCAAAAGAGGAAAATTGCCATTCTGGAGAAGCAAATATCACAGGTGAGATTCCATATCGAAATCCAATTGGCCAAAGCTGCACTGGCGATTCATAGAAAGATAATAAAATAATAGAATACAGTATAAAAATTCCCAAACCGATACAAATTTATGGAAATTGGAGAATATTTGAACAATTTTGACAAAGAAAAAAGAATGTCACAAATTTCAACCCAATTTTTTTGTGAATTTTAAATAGAGAATTGCAATATCAAAGGCGGGATTTTTCCCATGTCATGAAATATTTTTTTTTATGAATCGCAATGTGGCAATTGATCTAATTTCGCGATGAGCTTAATTAACATACAGAGCTTTTTTGGGGTAATATTTAATCAATATCCAAAATCTCTGCATTGTTTTGTCGCTTCGACTAATCCACTGCTTGGTTAACACACGAACAAAGGGTTCAAGACCACAAATTCAGTGGCATCACTACTCATACGAGGAGGACGAGGAGGACGAAGAGGAGGAGGAGGACTTCCCCATCCACAGGCGAAGATCCTTCAGGCGTCAGGTATTCTGCAACCCACTCCCAATTAGTGAATGGAAGTCATTCTTTCACCTTCTCCGCCCTCACTTTGTCACTTTCACATCCACATTGTCAAAAATTTCCACAGAGAAATTACAGTTAATCAGCAATTAGGGCAATGGTAATTGAAAGAGTAACTTTGTAATTAAAATCAGCAATCTCGCCATGGTTAATTATATTCTCCACCGCATCTCGACAGTGCTAATGACGTTTTCTGAACCCTTGAAGTCCTGCAGGAAGTTTAACTCGAGGAATTCCTCCTCATTAGTGGCCATATTAAATGCATTTTTTCCTGTTTGCAATTCTCTCCTATTAAAAACTCTTCCTTGTGATGGTTTTAATGGAGTTTTGCACACTCTGAAATGGTGTGTTTTGCTTGGAGCAGGGAACTGGTCCGGGAGGCGGTGGCTCAAGGCGTGATAGTGAGGCTCCGCAGAAGGACAGCTCGCCGGAACCCGAACCCGAGGTGTCTGAGAGTGACGATGAGGAGGATGAGCAGGCCAAGGAGGAGCGCAGGAAGCGACGCCTTCAGCGAGAAGTGAAGATGCTTCAGACGAAACTAGCACGAATTAAGGACAAAGAGAAGGTGTCTAAGAAGGAGCGAGAAGGACTCAAAGACACAATGAAGAAGTCTCAGGCAGCATTGAAGTAATGAGATGATTTCTGCAGAGTGTGGAAAGATGATCTGATGATGCATCGTCCTTTTCAGGGAGGAGAAGAAGAAGTACCGCAGTCTCCAGAAGGAGGTGGACAAGATGGCGAAGCTGATGAAGGACGTGGATGTGGATGAAGATGAGGAGAAGGACGAAGATGAGGACGTTGAGGAGGAAGAGACAGAGGAGAGCGAGGAAGAGTCTGAGAGTGAAGAGTCCGGAAGTGATGAGGAGTCTGAAAGCGAATCAGAACCTGAGGTCTGACAGTCAAATTCACAAAGAATGTCCATCTAATAGTATTCTACTTTCAGGACGCCGAGGATGAGAAGAAGAAGGTGAACCTGGAGCCAAGGGTGAAGCGACACGAGGGAATCTTGGCGGCGCTGAAGAAGGGCAACTATCTGCACCAGGCCAACGTGGACCGTCTCAAGGATGAAGTCATCAAGCAGAGAGAAGCTTCGGAAATCATGCAGCGCGACCTCGATTCCGTTCTGTCTGAGCTGGGCTAAAGGTGGAAGACTGAGGAAGACCACGAGTGCTGCAGAATGGGAGAAATGCTCCCGGACAATGCTTTGGAATTTCCTTTATACCGCTTTCGTCAGGCTACAAGCTATACTTTTTGCATAAAGGTGTTTTTATTTAATTCTTTGCCAGGCGTTATGACACTTTGCAATAACACTCAATAATTGAAAGAAAAAAAAATTATACAAAAACATTACATTATATACAATTTTACTCTGCGTCCTTCAAAGCCTACCCAAAATATACCTTTTCACCTATTATTTCATCAAATTCAAGGATGAGGAACATTTGATATTTGAGATGACGTGAAAACATAATTGACGCGAAGCTCCGCCCCCGTAGAAGCCCCACCCACTTGTGAATGATTGCAATGCTACAGCAACAGTGCGCATATTATTTGGCAAACAGTTGTTACTTCGCCTCAAAGGAAAAACCACTCGTCACCATCATTATGCTTTCTCTTTGGGAAAGTGGAGCACACGTAATCTGTCTCATAATGCCATATCGTTGCTTCCACGTGCAATGTGGCCTTTGAGAGCGCATAAATTCTCCATGCTCTTGATCCTCGACAAAAAGCCGGACAGATTAGCATAAATTTTTCATATCACAGCGCTCTCCAGAGGGCAGATAGTCATCGCACTCGCGCCTCTGCACACTGTCGCCTCGTGGACACGGAAGGAGCAACAGCGTCAGAGCCGAAAAAAAGAGAGTGAAGAGCCAGAAGAAGTTGGCAAAAAGAAACCCAATCTGCCGCGGCCGCGAGTTATGGTGGCGAAAATGATGAGTGGCGAGATAAATTGATGGTGAGTGGCGAGATATGCCAATGAGTTGATCTCCTTATCTCGCTCTTGCGCCCAACTGACGCGGCCTCGCAGCATAATTATGTGTATCATGCAAAAATGCCTGAATGAGAGACAATAATGCCGAGACTCTGCATCGGCCCAGACAATGAACTCTTGTCATGTGCAAAAGAGCTCTTGTTGCTGAGGAATTTTTCACACCAGCAGCGAGAAAACTTTTCAATATTAGCGGTGATTAAGTGCAATTGCGGCTAATTGTTTGATAAATGCCATGCAAACGAGACAGACTGCACGAAATTATCGCATCTTCCGCTGCCATTCAAGTGCATAAAATAGCACGAAGCAAATAAGAGCGTCGTTAGTATTAAAAATTGAATCTCCATATTGAATTTCTCCTTCTCAGTTCAGAGTTCATTCTTCATTCGCAGCTCTTTTTTCTCCTTTATTCATCGCTCCACGTTTAATCTGGGCTATTGATTTTGTTTGCTGCTTTATAAGATGTCTTCATATTTAATAAACATTTTTCTCGACGTTTTTCCTATCCATTTTTCCATCCCTATTTCTCGTTTTTTTTTTCAATCAGTTTCATACTCTTCGTCAAACAAGAAGTTTTCTTGAGTGTTCTTCTAAGAAAGATGCGTAGTTGAGTTCTTTTCAAGGCGGAGTTAATATAGTCAGAACTGGTGTACAGATCTGTAGAAGTTTCAGGAAGTAGAAATCAGTCCAAATCTTCATTTTGACATGTTTTTCTAGGTTATGTAATTGATTTGAAACGAGAAAAGAGTTTAATCGCGCTTCGAAAGCTGAGTGGTAAGAAATATTAAACATAACCTCAAATTTTCACTCAACAACATTGGAAATTTGAGGAATTTGTATTGAAAAGTGTAATTAAAATCGGAAAATCGTCAATAGAAAACCGTTAGAACAGTTTGAAAATTAGATTTTTAAAACTTTCAGTTAGATTTTCATTAAATTTCGGTTAAATTTCAAGAATTTTTCATACAAATTGTGGAAGTGTCAGGAAGTGGTGTACAGAATTCAGTCGTATTATTACCTCCTTGGCTCTTTGCAGCCTTTGCAGTCCTTGAAGATTTCTTTGGACAACCAGTTATGCTCTTCGGTTTATGGAAGCTTTCAAAGAGCCTTGGCTCTCAAAGATGTTGAATGTTGAGTTATTTTCCCACATTTTTCTTCCTTTGCTCATCACAGAGACAGTATTTAGGTCAATGCATTCCAGGAGAAGGTCTTAATAATCTAAAACCACCCTCAAAATCTCGAGCTTTCTTCAAGTGCAATCAAAGCACTTGAATATCTGGAGTTTGTCAAGTAAAAGTTGCAAATCTAAATATGTATAAATGAATATTTTATTACAATTTGATAGCATTTTGTTCTCGCTCATCAAATTGATGACATGACATATGTCTTAAACTCTAGCATGAAATACCAATAAATTGATCAAAATCTAATCCATCTCGCAATGCAAAAATGAAATTGTGTCAAAATTGATGATTTTGGAAATTCATCAATTGCTTTACATAAATGAAAACAATGAGGGATGCAATTTGTCGGGTGGAGAGGAACTTTCGTAAGTCGATTTGCATGGCTTTCAATGCAATATTTATGCATAGTCAAGGGGAAAGTCATTCGCAAGTTGAGACCATTAACTTTGTGATTGTTCCCAGTAAAAACAGTCCTATAGGAATCGTGCGGGATTCGTGCCGGATCTTCCTCTATCTCCGCTGTTTTCCGCAGCGGAACCTTCCACCAAAAATCCGCTGTTTGTCGGCACGGATAGCGGAAATTTTGATAGAAATTTTGGCGGAATAATACGCAGAATTCCGCAATATTTTTACCGGATGATTCCGCTATTTATTATTATTCCCGGAGGTTTTGGGTCTCGGGATTTCTCGGCGGAATTATAGAGGAAAACCGCGTTTCAATTCCGCAGGGACAATGGCGGAATTTTACCGGATTTACTTGCCGGAATCACGCAAGATGATCCGTTGAAATTCCAGCAATGGCCAAAAGGACCTTAAATGCCGGATTTGTGCCGGATTTTCTTGCAGGAATCTTGCAAGAACTTCCACCAAAATTCCTGCATGGAATAAAAGGACCATAAATGGCGGATTTGTGCCGGATTTTCTTGCAGGAATCTTGCGAGAACTTCCACCAAAATTCCTGCATGGACGAAAAGGACCATAAATGGCGGATTTGTACCGGATTTTCCTGCAGGAATCCTGCAAGAAATTCCGCCGAAATTCCTGCATGGACGAAAAGGACCATAAATGGCGGATTTGTACCGGATTTTCCTGCAGGAATCCTGCAGGAAATTCCGCCGAAATTCTTGCATGGACGAAAAGGACCATAAATGGCGGATTTGTACCGGATTTTCCTGCAGGAATCCTGCAAGAAATTCCGCCGCAATTCCGCTAAAATATATGCCTATACTTTGAATATGGCGTGCTTCGGACCAATTTTTCGAGGTGGCGCTGTGATTCACCAAGTGATCGGGTGATGTCATTTGGGGGAACTTCACAACAAATATAAATATGGGACTTGGAATTTCACCAAGACATTAATTCATGCACGCAAATAAGTCCTTTTTCACGCTTATTATAGTATAGAGCTGGGTGCAAGGATGCTTCCACGGTACAGGATGAGTAGAAAGGGGGAAAAAGTACTTTCCGCACCGGAAATATGCCAATTTTTGGAAAAATTGTTGAAAAACCCTTAAAAAAAAATTTTTTTTTTTGCCGAAATTCTCATTGCTTCTCAAGGATATCAATGTGAAATCATCGAAAAACTGCAAATATGCACACCCAAGAGCCTTATTTCCTCAATATTGAGGATAAAATGCGTGACTTTTCCCCACCCACTTTTGACAGCTGCCATCTTGAAAGACAATCTCCGAAAAATAGGCAGTTCAGTCATTGCGGAATGCTCTGCAAGATTCCACCAAGAATCCACAACTCAAATTCCCCCCACTTGAATAGTGGAAATATGGCGGAAGCGTCTTGCAAGAATCCTCCACTTTTCCGCCATTTGCGGAAAAAACGGAGGAAACGCAGCAAAAACGTCCTGCAGAATTTCTACCACGAATCCTTGAAGTCAAATCCCTCGTCCCGAGTGGCGGAGATGCCGATTGTACCTGGACGGAAGATTTGCAGGACATTTTCCTGCGATTCCGCCGTTTTCGTTTCAAATAGCGGAATAGTGGAGGAATCTTGCGGGAGAATTCCACCGCAATTCCTGCGTTTCTTTTACAAACGCAGGAATTGCGGTGGAATTCTCCCGCAAGAATCCTCCACTTTTCCGCCATTTGCGGAAAAAACGGCGGAAACGCAGCAAAAACGTCCTGCAAAATTTCTACCACGAATCCTTAAGATCAAATCCCTCTTCCTGAGTGGCGGAGATGCCGATTGTACCTGGACGGAAGATTTGCAGGACATTTTCCTGCGATTCCGCCGCTGCCGTTTTCGTTTCAAATTAGCGGAATATTGTAGGATATCCATTGCGGGAGAACTCCACCGCATTTCCTCATTTCGTTTTTGTCAACGCAGGAATGTTGCGGTGGAATGCTCTCGCAAGAATCCTCCACTTTTCCGCCATTTGCGGAAAAAACGGCGGAAACGCAGCAAAAACGTCCTGCAAAATTTCTACCACGAATCCTTAAGATCAAATCCCTCTTCCTGAGTGGCGGAGATGCCGATTGTACCTGGACGGAAGATTTGCAGGACATTTTCCTGCGATTCCGCCGTTTTCGTTTCAAATAGCGGAATAGTGGAGGAATCTTGCGGGAGAACTCCACCGCAATTCCTGCGTTTCTTTTTCAAACGCAGGAATTGCGGTGGAATGCTCCCGCAAGAATCCTCCACTTTTCCGCCATTTGCGGAAAAAACGGCGGAAACGCAGCAAAAGTGTCCTGCAGAATTTCTACCACGAATCCTTAAGATCAAATCCCTTTTCCTGAGTGGCGGAGATGCCGATTGTACCTGGACGGAAGATTTGCAGGACATTTTCCTGCGATTCCGCCGTTTTCGTTTCAAATAGCGGAATAGTGGAGGAATCTTGCGGGAGAATTCCACCGCAATTCCTGCATTTCTTTTTCAAACGCAGGAATTGCGGTGGAATGCTGTCCCGCAAGAATCCTCCACCTTTTCCGCCATTTGCGGAAAAAACGGAGGAAACGCAGCAAAAACGTCCTGCAAAATTTCTACCACGAATCCTTGAAGTCAAATCCCTCTTCCCGAGTGGCGGAGATGCCGGTTGTACCGGGACGGAAGATTTGCAGGACATTTTCCTGCGT